AGCTGTTGCAAAACAGATGAATTGTATTATCTGTATTTTAAAAATACCATAGGGCAAAAATTGAATGTAACTAAAAATAAGGCTTTCTTTTTTGGAGGTTCCATGAATGCAAAACATTTGATCTTGAAGGAATTGGGGTTTGGTGAGGGTTCTCTTCCAATAAGATACTTGGGAGTGCCTCTATTCCATGATAACCTGAAGCACCATAATTGTCAGAATCTCATGGGAAATATATTAGCAAGATATGAACATGTCGTCTTTATCCCTCTCTTATGTAGGTTAGTTATGATTGTTGAGATTAGTACTAAGTTCATCAGCCATTTTTTGGGTTCAATGATTTATACTGCCAATGCACACATGCAATATGTTAGAGTGGCGTCAGAGAAATTTTCTATGGGTTGGTACAACTCATAAGAAGGGGGTTCACTAAGTAAAGTGGAAAAATATATGTTTGTCAATGTAAGAGAGGGGACTTGGAATTCGTAATATTATTAAGTTCAATAATGCAGGCATGATGAAGTTGACATTGAGGATTCTGGCTAAGCCGTCTTCTCTTATAGCTCACTTCTTTAGACACATACTTTAGAAATTGTTCAATTTGGGAAGTTGATAGGAAGTCTTGCTCCTATGCATGGAAGGACATTCAAATGGGTTGTCTCTCTTGCGCCACAATATTCAATGGATTATTGGGGATGGAAGGACAAATAATTTTTGGACAGATCTATGGTTATCAGAAAAATCTATTTTGGAATCTTATGGTTTTCGTATTCGGAAGGACCTAAGAAGTTTTAACAAGCATGGGTTGTCGACTACTTAAATGGCTATCTACAATCCTGGTGTTTCTCTACCCCTGCAGGACAAGCTCTTAAAACCTGGAATCAATGGATCAGAATTTGGAAAGAAGCGGAGGTTGCTTTAATCCCTTTGAAACCCCAACCTGATCTTTTGGTATGGATTCACTCTACAAATGGAAGATTTTATGTTAAAGAGGCATGGAATTTCATCCATCGTAAGGGCAATTATCAACCGGTCTTCAGGGTATTATTGTATTCTAAGTGTCATCCAAGGGCTAAATGGTTCTCGTGGTTGAGCCTTCATTATCGTCTTCCTACCTCTTCTCTCATGCAGCAAAGGGGAATTATCCTTGCATTTGTGTGCCCTTTCTGTCATCTTAATGATGACAATATTTTCTATAGTTTCCTTGAATGTGTTTTCTCACAGGGGATTTGGAGGTCGATAGCATGGTAATGTGGAAAACACTTTATTACATATTGTTCTATTGCAGCTACACTGCGGAAATGGTTAGCATTCATGTTCAACTCTGATGGTATTATCAACATTTGACATATGGATGATTTGGGAGGAGTGAAACCATTGTATGTTTCAAGGAAGGACACTCACTCTTGTGAAGTTGACTCGAAGGATCACCTACCATGTTTGTGATTTGGCGGATGGTGAGGCATGGACTTACCACATCTCAGAAAAGAAATTACTGAGAATTCACGATTTATGTGGCGGCAGCAAAGGATCAAGTTAACCATAACAATGGCATGAACTTTTCTACATCCACAATATTTTAAGTTAAATATTGATGGGTCTTCTATTCATAATCCAGGTGAAGCTGGTCGTGGGGACTCTTGAGACGGGATGATAGATATTTCACTGCTGAATTCTCAGATCCTCTTCGAATTGCTTCCAATAATTATGCAGACTTTCAAGGTTTACAAGAGGTTGTTGATTTAGCCACTTAAATGGAAAGCGTTCCCCTGCAAATATAGAGTGATTTTTTCTTACTGACTGAATTATGACAATGAACATTAGAAAATTATAGGTTTTGAGCTATTGGCTCGGAGTTGAAGATGCAAGGATCAAGCACTCCATCACTTTAAACGAAAAACATTAAAAGGTTCAAGAAAATAAATTTATATTCTGCTTGTGACAAGGTGTTTATAGGCCATTGAACGAGGGGCGAGTTTGGCCATGCCACCTATTCTTGAGTAGGTGGTATTTTTAATTACTTTTAGTTAAGAACTAAGGCAAACATCAGGGTAGCATTTTTCCAAGTATACTAGCTGGGGGTTATCCATGAAGGGCTCAAGCGAACAACACATCTCACTTCAGGCTCTGTTTGGAGTCATTAATAGCCATATCAAGAAAATACATGGTCCGGGTTGAGTCATTTATCCCCAACCAGGATTTAGGAACTCAAATTGGTTATTTGGAACCTTATCAGGCTGGTTCGTTGTGCTAATTCGGACTCAACCTGAAAGTTTGCAGTATCAATCTCTCTCATTGTCACTCCAAAATCTTTGTCTACAGGGTTGTGTCTCATTGTCTTGTTTGTGGTTGGTTCTACATTGTGATTTCTTCTGTGGACAATTTCTGCCATCAAGATATTCATGGGAAAGCATACAAAGAGCCATCTGGTTGTGGTAACAATATGCATCTCTAGACACATGTCGTTGCACATGTTTCTCTAGACGATTTTCTTTTTTTGCCTAGAGCCGCCTAGCTATTATATTTTGATCAAATGGTTGAGAGATGAGATTGCAAAATTATCGTGATGCATTTGCTACATTTGATGCATTTCAGGAGATATATAAAGTTTCCTCATAACAATATGGTCATCACCGTCCAATCAATAAGTTGGGCAGTGATGGTGGGGAGAGTAGGTCCTCGTAACAGTGTGATTGATGCATTTGATCCAATCTCTTATCCCGTTACCATCCAACCTTAGATAATGCGCACTGCCATACCCATGTTGTTGCTTTGATCCTTCCAAACAATATGCTAGTAAGTCTTCAAGTGTTTAAAGTCATTTCTATTAAAGTTAGGGAAACAGTGCCAAGTAACCGCACAAGTCAACCATACATCGATTTGGAGTTTTAGGAGCTTCTAGTATATTGTATGCAGAAGGGAACATGTTTATGTAAATTAATATCCAGCAACTTTAAATAATCAAAGGAAGAACTCCTATGATGGGTTGAAAATCTATTTCTATCTCTCATTATGAAATTCAGAGCTCTAAATCCTATGCAGATCATGCGGATCTGTAGGCACCTGAAAATATTGAAAATGGACAATTCAAATCATACGTGATAAGAAGTGAAATTATTAGGACTTGAAATAATTTTTCTTCATATGGATGCATCTTGAGGTCAAGATGATCAAATTGGAGGTTGTTCCAATGTCCAAACAAACTTTTCCGAAATATTTTTGAGACACGCCCTTCTTCTATAGTATAAGTTTGATGCCTTATATAAACACGCCCTTCTTCTATAGTATAAGTTTGATGCCTTATATAAACGTTTTTCTTTTGTGAAAGGCTAAAATACAATATAATCATTTTCTTATTGTCGACTAGGATAATATGCAATAGTTTGAACAAATATCGTTCGGGCTTAGGAGAACTCATACTGGTTATCAAGGAGAAAGCAATTGTTGACGATCACTTCCCATATTCGCGAGTTAGCAGTTGCCAAAGTATTGGCATTCCATATATCGAGATAAACAATTATTAGAAATCTACAGCATCAAGAACAATCTAATTCCCTTATTCCGATCGCATGGTCTTTCCTTTATTCTAACCAAGTTGAATGTTGATGGAGCTTATTTACAAAACCCACGGACAACAGGAGGCAGTGGTGTCATCAAAGGTGGTGATGGAGCCTTTATTGCCGCCTTCTCCACTCCTTTCAATATTGCATCCAACAACTATGCAAAATTTTATGCTCTAAAAAAGGCCATTGATTTGGTCATTAAATTCAATTGTTTCCCTTATAAATAAAAGTGAATTGATTTGGTCATTAAATGCGATTGTTTACCTTATAAATAAAAGTGACTCTTCTCTGCTAGTCAATGCCATTCAAGGCTAATGTAATGTTCCATATGCACTTTCCACGGTAGCAGTCATCCGCAGACATAGCCTCTCAAATCGTATGCAATCTATTTTTTATATCTATCGCAAGGCTAACATGATAGCAGACACCCTTTGCCAAAAAGGCCATGTCCCTCGCTGGCGCTGCGGTTTAACGTGCTAAACTGCCAAATTTTCTCTCATTTCTAGTGCTACGGTTTAACATGCTTCGTGACTAATGCACTGTTCCTTTTTTATAAACCATCTTTAGATTTTCGACATTGTTGTCATCGGTAACTTTCCTTGGTTTGGTGGTTCGTTTTTTCTTCTAGATCCATGGTCATTTTGGCCAATTAGCAAATAAAATTTGAGAAAAGTTTATATAGAGCCGAGGCTCTAAACAATCAAATTTGAGCCTACATCAAAAATTGTACTACAAGCGGTTATTTTGATGCCGAAATATCTTCAAATTGATCATCTCGACATCAAGATGCATGGACATGAGAAAAAATGGATCTTAAGTTTTGGAAATAGTGTATTTTGTGACGCATTTTGGACCGTCAATTTTCAAGTTTTCGTAGATTTATCGATCTACACTATTTTTGAATCTTTAAACTTTATAAATAAATATGAAAATGTATTTTAAGGCTATCACAAAGATTTCCAATATTGAAACTACATTTCTCAATACTATTTGAAAGTAGGCTCTAATTTGATTGTTTAGAGCCTAGGCTCTATACAAACCGCACCCATAAAATTTTGATTTCATTTTGGACATTTTCCATGCAAATGAAATGAGGGGCATTTTGGTCCATTCATTGAGATAATACAATCGTTTTTGGCCTCAAGCGGGTAATCGTCCTCTAGTCAAAGGGCACTGAGGGCAAACAAGAAATATTGAAATCTTGGGTGGAGAAAGAAGTAATACCTACTTGTGGTGCAAACTCCACACTATCTTATCTCGTCTTTTATGCCACACATTTGCTTCCCTTATTCATCTCCATCCAAATCCAAGTTTCACAATAATTTTAAAAAGTAAAGCCATGAAAATTAAAATAATAATATTTTATGAAATTTCTAAAACACATCTAATCCATCATACACACCAATGATAACTATAAAAAAAGTAAACTCATAAACATTTGAAATGTTTAAATAAATATTGCAAGAAAAATAGTAATTATAAAACCTCTCACAATTTCACTCTGCAGATTCAGTTGCAGCCATGGCATCCTATGCAGCTCTTACTTCTTCAAGGGTACCAACCACCACTGGGCTTCCCTCAAGAAGCACTCAATCTCAAGCTCATTCCTCCTTCTTCAGGGTTAGTATCCATGCCTTAATATATAGATTAAATGAATCATATAATAGTTTAGTAAATCAATTTTGAATCTAGTGAAATGAACATACTGTTAATGATCAAAAGAAGAAAAATCGAAACCTTTTGCGTGTATGTAGGTGTGGCAATTGATCTTGAATTTCCAATTCATTGATATTGTTTGTGTAAGATGGCTTACAGAGGGTCGAGCTCGGTGACTTCTCTGGCCTCAAATCAAACGCATGCGTTACATATGCGAAGTGTGCCAATGAAGCTTCATTTTTCGATGTTATGCAAGCCAACTCACCCGAAAGGTTAGTCGGGATTTGGCTCCAAAGACAACTTTCACAAAATTCTCTCCCATTCTGTGATTAACATTTCTATTATTAATTTCGCTTTCTCCAATGGACATAAGAAATATTGTCTTTGTTTCTGTTTGTTTAATATTGTCTTTGCTTCTGTTTGTTTTGTATTTGGTCAGACTGAAGGTTCGGTACCAGTGAAAGGTGAGACAGTGGCGAAGCTCAAAGTCGCAATCAACGGATTTGGGCGTATCGGGCGTAATTTTCTCCGCTGTTGGCATGGCCGCAAGGACTCGCCGTTGGATGTCATCGTAGTGAACGACAGTGGTGGTGTGAAAAATGTGAGAATTACCACTTGTTTTTTGGTTTGTTAGTTCTGCAACTTCTATGTGGTTATGGGAGAGTTGAAAAAGATTAAACCAAATGGTTTTTACAGGGGAACAATAGTTTTTATACTTTAAAAGAGGATTGGGTAGGAGGCTTATTGAGAATATTCGGTTCTTAGGAGAGGGGCTGGGTCGTGGTGGTAGCACCCTCATATCTAGTTATCACGTTGTGATTTTCAATCATACCGACACCACCCATTGACACCTTTGAGAAAGCTAACTCCCTAATCTATATGAAAAAATGGTAAGGGCTTGTTATCTTGTAAAAAAAATGGGAGAATTTCAATAAAATGGTCATATGACATTGATCCCATGTTAATGTTTTTTGTACACTAGAACACGATTTTCTTCTCACTTTGTAAGCATCTAGACATTTTCTCTTAACCTTTTTATAATAAAATGTTACTTTTGAAAACTGCGTATATGCATGGATGATCCCATATTAACGTTTTTTGCACACATTGACACAATAAACACGCGATATTCATGTCTCACTTTTTAAACATGTAGACTTTTAACCGTTTTATCTTAATGTTACTTTTAAAGTATTTAATATCATATAAAATCCCACCTCCTTCATGCTTTAAATAACGTATGGACATAGTATATGAAAGGCTCATTTGGAAAGTTTGAAATTGATTATTTTGATACTTGTATTTTTGTCGACACACATATGGTGCCCATGTAACATAGAAAGACATCAAAATGTTAAGTGATCTAACCTACTAAATTGCCAACAAAATGGGTCGTCTCTAAAATCATTTCAGTTCTGTACATCATCGGCAATTTTGTTAGACAATGCCCAAAGTACTATTGCCTCAACTTTGAAATTTTGAAAAAGCGAGGGTATTTTGATAATTTGATTAATTAAGAACCTCGAGGCAAATAACCTAAATGTTCCTTCTCCTTTTTCCCATGTTCCAAACAGAGAACAGGCAGAGGTATTTGCGTATTTTGGCTCAAGTAACTTGAGTGAGGCCAAATTACCAAAATACTCTGGCTTGTTTCTGTTCCATACTCAAAACAAGTTTTTTAAATGAAAAAACATGTCCCATGTGTAGAACCTGGAACAAGTAAGATATACAAGACATTTAGCTTAAGTGACTTAAGCTGATCAAATTGTAAAAATGTCATCACTTGTTGAGGAATACAACCCCAAAACATGGGAAATTAGGGGATTTTTAACAAAATTATCAAGGCAGTATCTAATGAATGGTTTTAATCACTTTATTGGTAAAATTGTTGAGACTGATCGATCATTTTTAATACCTTACGACAAAATTGACTCATTCAATTTTGATGGTTCAAACCTTCAAAAAAAAAAAAAAGGAAGAAAACCCATAAAAGTAGATTTTGCTTTTAGATAGGGAAAAGAGAGTGAAATGTTATCAACACTTAAGGTATAATTGTTTAATTTAAATTTTACTTGTAGAACATAATACAATCCCTCATGCTCCGGACAAACCGTAGCTTGATGGATCTAAATGGAGGGAGGATGGGATCCACTACTCATCACCATCCATCGACGAGTTTTGTGGGATTATAGTATGCTACATGTTCTTTTTATGTTCTAGAAGTTGAGTAAAACATTATATTTTATTTCAGGAAGCTTTCTTTTGTATAAGGAAAAAATTTGTATGAGGCGGCAATCATAATTGTGGAGTAGAAGCAGAGTTGCAGGCTGCAGCCTTACATATTACTTTTTCTACTTTCATTTATATAAACTTTGTATAATGATGTGCACATATATTTCTTTGTTACATCTATTGGTCACGTTATCATTCGTCTCTTCCTCTTACTGAGATGAGTAGATGACCATTTAAATCGGTTAATCTTAGGCGGCACACCTTCTCAAATACGATTCGATGCTCGGAACATTCAAAGCCGCAGTTAAAATCGTTGATAATGAAACGATTAGCGTTGATGGAAAACTCATCAAGGTCGTCTCGAATCGGGATCCCTTGAAGCTGCCGTGGGCTGAATTGGGCATCGATATAGTGATTGAGGTACTTACCATTATTTTCTTCTTGTTTTATTTTCTTAACAATGTGTCTCTCAGAGTCCCCCTCTTGTTCATAAATTTGGTTCAGATCAGAAATCAGAGCGTTAATATATGTGGGAGTTTTCTTATGTTTTTGATGTACTTCTTGTTTTTTATAAGATTTTTATTATTAGTTATTTTTCTTTCTTTTTTTATTCTTACAAGTTTTTTGAAACTAAGAAAAAATTATGATCTTGGTGAGATTCTTAGGGAACTGGTGTGTTCGTTGATGGTCCTGGAGCCGGCAAGCACATCCAAGCAGGAGCAAAGAAGGTTATCATAACAGCACCAGCGAAGGGTTCTGATATCCCGACATACGTCGTTGGAGTGAACGAGGGCGACTATTCCGACGAAGTGTCCAACATTGTCAGGTATTAATGCTACTTCCACTCTTTTCCTTTTCTCCTCCAAAAGAAATCTTTTTCCTTTACAACTTACCACAAAATCTTTTATTCTATGTGATGCTTAAACTTAGCTTGAAATGTTGCAGCAATGCTTCATGTACAACGAACTGCCTAGCTCCATTTGTGAAGGTCATGGATGAGGAATTTGGTAAGATAGCAACCTGAAAATTGCTTGAGATTTAAATTAGCTTCTAGAAATTGTTGGAGGATTTCATTTAAAATTTCCTTTTAGAATCTCTTGATTGCATAGTCGAATACCTATGGTACAATTCATAGCAATAAAATTAAAGAGGAAAAGAACTGAGTTGCATTTACAAATGATTATAGGGATCGTAAAGGGGACCATGACCACCACCCATTCCTACACCGGAGACCAGGTACGGCAGCAAGCAGATCAAGACGTTTTTCTTGAACTATTTTTCTGTGAATGTGGTTTAGTTTCTCTATTAACATTAACTGGTCTAGCATTTCTAATTTTCTGTACTTTGATTTGTTATTATCAGAGGCTCTTAGATGCCTCCCATCGCGACCTAAGGAGAGCCAGAGCTGCAGCACTAAACATAGTCCCAACAAGCACGGGGGCGGCCAAGGCAGTGTCACTAGTGCTGCCTAAACTCAAGGGCAAGCTCAATGGCATTGCATTGAGGGTCCCTACACCAAATGTTTCAGTGGTTGATTTGGTGGTGAATGTTGAGAAGAAGGGCCTCACAGCTGAGGATGTCAATGCAGCTTTCAGGAAATCTGCTGAGGGGCCACTAAAGGGTATTTTAGCGGTATGTGATGTTCCATTGGTGTCTGTCGACTTCCGGTGCTCGGATGTCTCCTCCACCATCGACTCCTCTCTCACAATGGTCATGGGGGACGACATGGTCAAGGTCGTCGCGTGGTACGACAATGAGTGGGGCTATAGGTGAGATCTCTCTCTCTCCATTAGTTTTCTGAAATTATGCATGCTCTTGGGAAGGTTCAATTACTAGTCTACTTGTGTGTGTGTGTTTTGTTATTGATTGGCAACTCAAGCTGCGTTCCTATGAATTGCATTGCATTATTTCTTAGACTGTGTTCATGTGAATTGCATCGGGTTATTTCGTAAGTTAATATGATTTGCCTTTGCATAATTACTTAAAATTCAAAGTTCTTATGGTTCTCTATTTTCTTGAGCATTTTCCTTATTTGAGAAGCTTATACACAATTTGCTTCTTTCTAAATAGACTTCTTTCATCTACTAGAAACGTTTTGTTCTGCACCTCACCCTTTCATACTTATTATTGGAGTTTTTGGTGATTTCAATTTATTTGAAAGGAAGCACAACCGCCCTTTTATCTCTCTTTTATTCTCTTGAAGTGATTCCAATGCAAGCGCCTTAAACACATCCGAAGATTTTATGCATATGCAACGATCATTATTTTGTGTCTAAATGACTCATTTGAGTTACATTTCTTCTAATCATCTAATCTTGCCATGGTTGGTGTTGTTGCGTAGCATTCATTTTAAGGGTGGCAATGGACCCGGGCCTGACCCGGGACGCAACGACCGGACCGGACCTAAGTCCAAGTATGGGTCGAAAAATTGGACCTAGCAGGTTGGCTCCAGGTCCAAATCTTGGACCCGAACATTATTTGGGTCCGGGTCTGGGTCTATGTAGACCCGACCTAAATAGTTTTAATATTTAAATGATAATTATTAAATACAAACTATATATCTTTAGTTATAATATTTGAATAACATGTATATATTTAACACAATATTTAAATATATATTTTTATTTTTGGGTCGGGTCCAGTTGGATCTGGGTCCAGGTCCCATAAATTTTTTGGGTACCGGCCCAGTCCATTCCGAACCGACTTGTTGCCACTTGTATTTCGTTACTACATATATGTTTGGTTAATATTTAATATTTCCTTTTTGTGAAATTTAACTGCAGCCAAAGAGTGGTTGATTTGGCGCACCTCGTCGCCAGCAAGTGGTCAGGAGCGGCCAAATCAGGTGGGGATCCACTAGAAGAGTTTTGCCAGACGAGCCCCGAAACCGTTGAATGCAAAGTTTATGAAGCCTAATTTTACCCCATTTATGAAATAATGATTTGCCTTCTCCCTCTCGTGTTGTGCATTAGCAAATATATTTTCTTTTTCATTCTTTTCTTAGTTTCCTCCTCTCAAGATGTGGAGCTACAATTTTTCAAGCTTGACGACGACTGTTGTCATTTGAAAGACAAGCAATATGTGTAAATTATTGGTTAATGGCATGCTAATTGCAGATACATTTTACTAGAATAATGACAATTAAATTAGAAAATAAGGTGAAAATGATTTTTTCTTGTCCTTTTGGTAGAGCATGGACTTTATTAATGCAAAACACCGAAGTGTGGAATTTCATGCAGGAGGTAAAAAACCAAAACGCCAGCAAGATAAATATGTATACATAATAATCATTTATAAGGAGATCACAATCACATGCAACTCTCAAGTGTAAAATTTGAGTGCTCGAGTATGTCACAGAATTTAAAAAAAAAATATTTTAAACTTTGAGCCTAGTTAATAGAAAAAGTGAAACTGCCCAATTGTAATCTCCATGTACCAAATATAAATGGCCTTTTCTAGCTAATAATATTAGCTAATGACACACCCGTTGCATGATGCTAGGAAATAGTTGAAAATAAGTCCTTTGAAATTTAACTTAAATGAACTATTAACAAATATTTTACGAACTTTAAGTCATTCAATATTACTTAGATAGTTATTCCTTTAAAATTTAACTTAGATGAACTATTAACATAATTTTTACTAACTTTAAGTCATTCAATATTACTTAGATAGTTATTCAGTTTTCTATCTAACCTATATATTTTTTATTTTCTTTTGATAAGATAAATACTATTATAAAAATCCTATTTTGGTTGGAATAATTAATATTTCGATTTTTTTCTCTTTTTATTAATGAGCCAACTACCATCATCAAAATAGTTTCTATATTCTCATATATAGAAGATTATTTTTTAAAAAATGGGATTTGGATAAAACATGAAGATATTTTAAGGAGTACCGATAGAATTTTATCTTGCCAATTTTGTCACGATTTATATAACAAATCATAGATTTTAAGGAGAGAGATTTTATGGATGGATGGTTCTATGAGAGAGAGAGAGATTAGCTGAATAATCATCTTAAAAATATCTAATTTGAATGCAAAAAAAACTTTATACTTTTATTTTGTGTTTGGTGATTCAATATTATTTTGGTAGATGTTTAATTTTCTCTCTAACTCTGTCATATATATGTTTAAAATTTTGGATAAGCTAAATGTTGTATATAAATTCCTATTCTTGGTATGGGTAGTTAGCATATAAAATCCATTTGTTAATTTTTCATTAAGTTTTTGTTCTCTGCTTGATCCTCTTTATTTGTTAGATTATTATTTGTTTAAAATCACAATTTCAATGAAATCTAAATGTTTTTTTAAGAAGTGATGGATATTATTATGTTTAACGACTTTATCATTGGATTTAGATAACAAATCTGATGGACCTTTGAGTTTAGAAATTTTACGATAGAGAGCTCTCATATAAAAAAAAAGGTGGCGTCTTAGAAAAATAAATAGAAAAAAATAAGAACAATTAAATAAGGAAAAGTTTATAAAGAGCGGAGGCTCCAAACAATCCAATTAGAACCCACCTCAAAAATTTCTTGCTCAAATATCCTCAAATTGGTCATCTTGACATCAAGATGCGTGGACATGAGAAAAAAATAGATTTCAAGTTTAAAAAATAATACATCTTGTGACGTATTTTAGACCGTCAATTTTCAAGATTTTCAAGTTTTCATCGATTTGCTCGATCTACACTATTTTTGAGACTTTAAATTTTATAATTAAGGATTAAAATGTATTTTAAACCTATGACAAAGATTTCCAATATCGAAACCACAGTTCTCGACACTATTTGAAGAAGAGCTTTACTTTGATCGTTCAGAGCTTGAGCTCTATACAAACGGCACCTATTAAATAATTAAAAGTCATGCTCCTATTTATTCTCCTTGTATATGTAAAAAGTGATGGACGACTACTATTCATTCTGTAGATGTAGGAGCATCAGCTCCGTCCATGTGGCCTTCTGTAGAATTTGTTGGAATTCTGTGCAGTCCTTGCTGGGATGCATGGTAACTGGTCACTTAACCAAATGGAGCGGCACAAGACCTTTCTTTGGTGAGTTAATGAAAATAATTCCTCCACAAGATCTACCATGATGGGGTGGTACAAAATATACACAAGTTTTTTATGATTGGGGGAGTTGCATTTTTTAATTATACTTGATTTGGAAAGAAAATTGGAATATATATACCCTAATTTAAAATCTCTAATTTATTTAAGTCCTATACTATTTCAGTGTTTCAAAAAATATCGATCCAGATCACAATTTGTCTAGATTAGGATCAGTTATTCATGGGCGGCGGCTAGATCTAACCCTTTAAGAACTCAAATTTTTTTTAATTGTGAAATTAGTAATGATGAGTATTCAACAAAATTTGGAGTCAACTAAAATTTTTAAAATCTTTTTGCTTTGATTAAATTAGTAATGATGAGTATTCTACAAAATTTTTTGTCAACTAAATTCTTAAAATAATTTTTTCTTTAATTATTAAGTTAGTAATGATGAGTATTCTACAGAATTTAGAGACAACTAAATTCCTTAGGGCCTGGATCTAACACCTTTCTTTCTTAAAGAGGAAGATGGCCCATATTTCCTGTATTTTTATTCTCACCTCACAAAAACTCCTTTGTTTTTTATGCATAATGCATTTAATACAAGTGCAATTCACATGCATAATTATCTACAAAAGACCTGCATTTCATATGTCAAGATGGACATGGGAAAAATAGATATCTGCAAAGCAAAAAAAATGCAAGCTTCGCTAAAAAATAAAGATAAAAAAGGAATGGTATTATATATTTATGAGACCGTTTATCTTTGGGATAAAGATGTCACAATTGCTCATGTTCATTAGATGTCAAATTGGGTGGCTTGGGACGTTGACAAATTTCGAACAATTTTTTTTTTTCTTTTAAACTTTGAGTTTGGTCAATGACACGCTCACACCCACCCTATTTGAACTATGACAAATAATAGTTAATGTGATTTTCTTGTATTAACAGTTTAAAAATAAAAGATCTCTTTATACATTTTCCCACGAAAATATGTTTGATGGCCTTTGTTCCAAACCAGTAGACAAAAATTAGGGAAAACCCAAAATACCTTATGGGGCAACTCATGATAGAGACTTTAGAATGCCCGCATATCTCTATAGGAAAAAGTTTATATAAGGATGTAACCTTATAATATAGAACTACGGATGCACCTAAAAAATCGATTGGAAAAGGTAGTTTTAATGTTGAAAAAACCTTTGATTGATCATCTCGACATCAATATGTATGACCATGAAAAATAAAAATATTTTAAGTCTCAAAAATAGTGCATTTTACAACATATTATCTACACCGTCCACTTTCAAGATTTTCATATGTTTATAGATCTACTTGATTTTAATTATTTTTTAAAATTTAAAATTTTATAATTAGATATAAAAATAGATTTTGAGATAATCCTATGAACATTTTATATCAAAATTATATACTATGATGAAATTTGAAGGTGCACCTTACCTCTACACCTACGGATACATCTGTATGCCAACTGCACCATGTCTCTATCACCCGTCATAAACATGCCCTGACATCTACGATGTAGCTAGTTAATAACCAACTAATTCAACACAAAATAGTCATGTGTCGAGGGACACAATTCTACATTTGCAACCCCCCCAAGGTATCAAACATCCATCTCTTTTGAGATAGAAGAAATTTGTAGTCCCTCCTAAAAAAAATAAAATCCAAGAGTTCAAAAATTTTATCAAAAAATTATCAGTTTTGGCTTAGTAAACTTTATTGTTTTTTCATATCAAAGATCTCCTTGTTAGGGGTTAAATATATCTGAAAAATTAGGTCCAAATTCCATCTTAAAGATAGATCGAAAAAAGGGAACGCATATCTACATATGAGTCCTAGGACTTACAGAAACCAATGTCTTTGATTCAAATAACACTATATAATCCATAATGATATTTAAAGGATGTACTATCATAATCCACACAAACATGAACAAACTCAATAAACTGCATGCTTATGTTGTCAAATATTCAAAAGAGGCTATGTACTATAAGGCTAGGCGGTTACATGCATCCTTAGCCATCATAAGTAAAATGTGGCAACTTCAAGTGTCACAAAATTTGAAAAATTTTATTTGAAACTTTTAATCTAGTTAATAGCACATCTTTTGCTTTTCATTTCATATTTAATGGCAATAAGTGATTGTAACCTATTCTACAAATAATATTCTCGTTATATATTTTGGGATTATATATTATGTTACTATTTATTTTTAATACAAGGATATCAAAATTGCTAGTAACCATTAGATGTAAAATAGATGGCTTGAGGTGTCACACTAAAATTGGGAAATATTTTTTGAACCTTGAGTCTAGTCAATGATATATTTCCAACCACCCGATTTGAAATTTGATGTAAATGAGTAATTATGACAGTCTTGTATTAAAAATGAAACAGTCGCTTTGTTTACTTTTCTATATGAGAAAGTATATAAAGAGACCATTGGTACAAGGTGGTCACAATTAATCTTGACCATTTGATTTGAAATTAAGTGGCTGCATTTATTTAATTGACCAAGCTCAAAATTCAAAAAATATTTTTTCGAACATTGTGACACACCCAAGCTACCAGATTTTACATTGGATGGTTGTAACTTGTAAGTAATTGTGACCTCCGTATATCAAAGGTAAATGGTCTCATTGTATATATTTCCTATTTTTAAACATTATGCTTGTACCATCATTTCCCTTATGTATTAATCTAGATCCATGTGGTTGGACACACCCAAACTACCAAATTTTACATTCAATGGTTGTAAGTAATTGTGACCTTCGTATATCAAAGGTAAATGGTCGCATTGTATATTTCCTATTTGTTAACTGTTATGCTTGTACCATCATCTCCCACATGCATTAATATAGATCCATGCATGAAAAACATGGTTGGTTCATAAATTATTATGTAAATATTTAAATTCTTCAAAAATTTCGAAGTTTTTTTTCTAAATAGTTTCTTATTAAAATCTCTTAATTTTTTTTTTGGGTACTTCCGAGATGCAGTGTTAGTTGACGTCAACTGCTCCATCCCAAATTGCTTCGGAACGAAGTAAGACAAAAATGGACCATTCTATTAAGGGTGTAGTTGGCATACTGATGCATCCGTAGCCGGAGATAAGGTGTACCTGCAAATTTTATCATGATATATAATTTTGATGTAAAATGTTTTTAGGATTATTTTAAAATTTATTTTTATATTTAATTATAAAATTTTAAATTTAAAAAATGATTAAAATCAAGCAGAACTATAAACATATGAAAATCTTGAAAATGGACGGTGTAGATAATATGTTGTAAAATGCACTATTTTTTAGGCTTAAAATCTTTCCATTTTTCATAGTCATACATGTCGATGTTGAGATGATAAATCAAAGGATTTTTCAACATTAAACTACCTTTTTTCGATAGATTATTGAGGTGCATGTGTAGTTACACGTTATAACGTTGCATCCTTATATAAACTTTTTTCCCTTCTATTAATTACAATCATGTGGTTATGAAGACAAATAGTAAAGCACCGATGGCAACCAGAGGCGATACTCGGGCACTTGACATTTAGCTCGTATAGCGTTGTCCCGCGGGAGCACACTTCGCCGAGAAGCCGTAACGCCAACGCCAACGCCATTTTGACATACCGCATTTGCTTACCCAAAAGAAATCCAGCGAGTTTTTGCGTCAAAATTCTTTCCTTTCTAAGGTTCCGCAAACATTCGCCTCGCCTCGCCCTTGACGAATCTCTCCTCTCTCTGCAACTTCTCTCTATTGAATTTCCACGGCGTAATCATTTTGTCTTTCCTATGGCGAATCTCTCCTCTGTCTGCAACTCTATTGTGTCTTTCCTATGGCCTCATCAATAAGATGAAGTTCGTTCATTTTTTTTAAGAAAATGGCCTGGTTCCGAGCTCTCTGTATTTTTGTTTTGCCTTTGTTGTTTGTTTTTTCTAAGTTTAAATTGGTCGATTCAGAGGCAGAAGCTAGCTATGATACAGGAAAGAATGCCGATTTGAGGGGCCTTCCTGTTGCCTTGGAGAGGGAAATTTCAGAGTTGAAATTTCCTAATATAAATGATACAATAAAGAAGGTCGTCCCTAGTCCAGACCAGGGTGAAGGTTCAGAAGAACGCAAAACTAGTATCAGTAGATCTTTATTGTCTACTTCTTCACCTATGTGAGTGTTGCGGTCTTATAAGAATTTATCATTCGTGTATTTGTTTAATTTAGGGTTCATGACATTTGAAATTAGATCACGCTCTCTCTTTTTTTTTTTAAATTTAACTTCGGCCCGGTGAGAGTGGACCCGCCATCCTAATAACTTCGGACTAGAAGCTAGATTTTGATGTTTTTGTTTTTGAAATCATGCTTGTGTGGAGTTTAAACATTGAGATTTGGATAATTTTATAGTCTGGGATGGTTTCTGTGTTGTTTTGGCGGGGGGTAGAGAATACTTGGAGCTGCTGTTGCATTTTGATGAGAGAAAAGGGAACTAGAAAAAACCATTGTTCGTTGGATTATGCTAGCTCATCAGAGGACTTTGTTTTGCATGCAGAGATAAAATCCTCATTGAAGATCGTGAATTACCAAAAGCCATAGCTCATTCGACTGTGCTTGGTAATGGGTAAAACTTTGTGTTACGTACACTGCTAATTTCGTCATTGAAGAACATGAATTGCAGAAAACTATGCAAAAAATGAATTAAGAGAGCGAATTTTAACATAGAATGACACTGAGATAAAGATGTGACCTCTGATTTTCACTCTGATTTAGCTGCATGATATCAGTATATACAAATGCTAATTTGGGCACATGCATACTTATGGATCTGTCTAGGTTTAAGTACACATGTATGTATTCATGCACGCATAAATGTTGGTTTTGGCACTGATTTACTTATGTCATGCGAGTTTGTAAGGGAGGGGCATGGACTTGAGGCATATGACTTCGGTTGGTTCTGTATGCTTTTCCCTTCTCACATTGCTCAACTGATTTATTTCAAGTCGCATAATGTCTTTCAAGCTCCTACATATTAAAAAAAAAAAAATGTCTTTGAAGCACCAATCTTACTATTTTGTTTTTTGTTCTAGTGCTATTCGACAATATACCTGCCATTAACAAGATTCTAACATACTTTATCCTTTTATGTATCTTGATTTTTAAAGGCCCCTAGTTCTTCATTAATGGATTAGCATTAGTTTGGATGAAGTTAGAGTGAATTTTGGTACATCAAAATTTTTTTTTGTAGCTCTGAATGCTTTTTTTCTTTTTTACCTGGATCAGTGATGACTCAATAGTTGTTGCATCCGTGGATGGAACTGTATCTTTAGTGGATAAGAAATCTGGACAAATTCAATGGTCATTCTCATCTGGTCCTCCTCTTTCGTCGTCTTCATATCAGGCTCCTCAATGTCCCGATAATGATTACAATGACATGCCAGGGCTTGGTGATGGAGAATCTGACCTTGACCCCTTTAGATATGTTGGATATGATTCCACTCTATACATGCACAACAATCCGTTTGGCGAAATGGTATTCCTGCAAACTCTACTCTTATTATGCATTTTTATATGGGTATATACTCATATTGGGACATATTTCTCGACAACTATATCAAGAAAATGGCATTCTTGTATGAAAATTGAACACATGGTTATATTTTGATGGTGTTTGTGCACACATGAATACATCTATTTGTGCGCAGTTGTATATTTATATCCTTATGTGTGATGTTACAGACCATCTCAGATCGAGGAATTGAATTTTTATATTATATAAACATTTGGCGTTATATTTTCATGGTGTTTTTGCACACATGAATACATCCATATGTGCATATTTGCATAATTGTATTTGTGTGCTTGATATTTTATACACCATCTTATTGACATTTGTTTTGTTGCAGAAACTCCCCATGTCAGCAGCAGAGTTTTTCACCATCACTTCTCATATATCTGAAGATGGTGGGGTTACACCTGGGTCCATGAAAACCACTGTTTTTGTTGTTGATCTGAAGACTGGAAATATAACTAATACATATGGATCAGATGTCAAATCTGATTTAGAGGTTTCAAGCAATTTTCATGCAGGGCTGGCTATTGCAGAGAAAGGCTTGGATGATCAAATAAATTATTATATTATTTTCAGTAGGATCGACTATTCTCTTTGGCACTTTGCCCCAAAGTCAGATTCAAAGAAAGCTCTATGGAATTTGACATTTGCTGATATAAGTGCCTATATCTGTCCGAATTATGGAAATGATTTTTCTTGTCAAAGAAGGCTTGTAGTCCATAGTGTTAGTGATCGTAATATTCTCCCAGATGCCAGTCACAAAGGTGACTCTCTTGGTCTTCCTTCAAATCAATTGATCAGAATTCCCAATCAAACACCCAAATATGAGATGCTACCATGCTTGTCACGAAGAGATCAGAATAAAATGCTACTTGATAGGCCACAAAGTTCTTGTGAAGTTGAGAATACATGTCTTGTGGGAATCGGTGACAATATTAGACAAAATGTGACCAACGTCAATGATATTATTAGACAAAATGTGACCAACGTCAATGGTATTATTAGACAAAATGTGATCAATGTCACTTTGAAAGTTGTGAGTTATTCTTACATGGTGGGTGGCTTAATTCTTATTCCATTGATTGCGAGTTTTTTCATGTGGTTGAAACAAGCAATCTTGAACAAAGAATCAAATACTTTGAAAGGCAATCAATCTAGCATAAACAAAAAAAGAAAAGGTAGAAGGGCGGGCAACAACAAAAATGTTTTAATAGTTAATGCACATGGCAATAAAGTGCCATCTGATAAGGAGGAAGAAGTAAGGTTGTCAAAAGATTTGCAAAATAGTGACTATGAACCAATTTGTAGTTTTCAGAAAGCGGGTGAAGATTGTGATGGGCGTTGGATTGGGAAATTATTTGTATCAAGGATAGAAATTGCCAAAGGAAGTAATGGTACAATTGTTTTGGAGGGATCTTATGAGGGCCGTCCGGTTGCTGTAAAGCGTCTTGTGCAAGCACATCATGATACTGCTTTTAAAGAGATTCAGAACCTTATTGCATCTGATCAACACCCCAATATTGTGAGATGGTTCAGTGTGGAGCATGACTCAGATTTCATTTATCTCTCGCTAGAACGTTGCTTTTGCAACCTTAATGATCTAATCCAATTGTACTCCGGTTTCACTTCGAATCCTGTGGGTGGGACTGATTCCATATTAAGATTTCCTAATGGGAACCAGCAACATATCGAGAAACAGAAATTTGAACTTTGGACAGCAAATGGAACTCCCTCAATCATGTTGTTAAAACTAATGAGGTTAGTTCTTGATCTTGATAACATATTAACAAATTTTTTTGGTTGGTAAAAGAATATATTTAGTGATTCTTGGAGCCCTGGAAAACTTTCATTGTTTGTAGTTGGATATGGATATAACACTAATATGGATATGGATGTTGATATTGAATGTATGGCATGCCACTTTATTGCAAATAGGACCTTTCTATCCGTGGATATTTAGAGCATTGAGATAAAACATCGAAAGAAAAATACTACAAAGTACAAACCATGTCAACATTGTACAAAATGGTTTTCATTGTTATTGTAAATTTAATGGAATTCAAGGTATTTTTATTAAAATATATGGCTCATTCTCTTTTATCTTGAATTTATAACTAAGCTGCATCATAGGTTGTGACACGAAGGGCATGATAAAAGCTGTATCGTTCCATATTATTATGTTGTGAGTTGCCCATGTAACATAGAATTGGGTAGTTGATCCTGATGGATAGAAGGGTCATGCATCCAAATTCTTTAGTTTATTGTTAGGTGAAAATCTTTCGTAGTCTATCTATAGAGAAGGAATAGATAAGGGGATAAATACTTAAGGAAACAGACTGAAGCATAGAATTTTTGGTCTCTTAAGGAAACTTTGTAACGTAAATGCTTATGTGCATGTGTGCTTGGATGATGTGCCCTAACTCCAATAGATGCACTTCCATGCATGTCTGTGTTATACTAACCTCCTAGTGGAAAGTATTTTAAGTATGCCTGTAACTCTCTATGCATGTGTCAGTGAATTGCATTCTTGATAAATTTTTGTGTTGCTTCTGTTTCTGCAGTTTTGTTGGATGTCCTTACTACTGTTACATTTTCCATGATGGATGCAAATTATTGGTTTATCCATTTCCATCCGAACCATCAAATAGGTGGTGATCATTGCCACTGTGACAATCTTAGTGTGCACTTATTGGTGAACTGGCCACGCTTTCTGGTGTTTACTCTAGCATCCCAAAACATTGGTGAGAATAGAAAAATCGTTTCTGTAGTATTGCACCCATGTTTCTTGGGTGGGAATAGCAAAAACATGGGTAAGAACAACAGTTATGTGTGTGTGTGTAGACTAGTAGGTCATATGTAAAGGTGGGCTAGATGAGCATCTAAAGGACTCTTCTTAGGCTAGGTAACTACCCAAGGGCTACAAACTATGTTATGATGGCCGCGTGTTTCTTGAGTTTAGCAGAATCCTACACTCCTACGCACTATGCTGCTGTTGACAATGTTTGGGCACCGGGGTTGTATGTTAGGGCCTTTTAAGGAAATAACCTTCTGAAATATTTTCTTTAATACATCAGATATCAAAGATTTTAGATTGTCTTTGGATATTCCTGCCTCTATGGTGGATTTTTTTGATGGGCAATGGACTGATTACTCCCTCTTTCTATTGAAAAGGGAAACATGACTCATATTTTTCTTCTTAAACCATTTAATGAACATGTGGAAATGGGTGCTCTTTAGTCCGAAACTCCAAATTGTAGCTAAATGTCTTGTTGGAAATCACAATTGTGGCCAAAACAAGGAGCAAGCACTCAAGAGCCCTTGCCTTAAGCTGGGCCGTATCGATCATCTCACCATCACACTCCTCATTGAATGAGCAAGTAGGGTCACAGGAAAAACCCATTAGGCATCTCATTGAAAAATTTCCTAGCATTATTCAAATCACCAGTTTTCCCAACCTATCAACCGTAATCAACCAAGAGACAATCTCTGTCTCTCTCTCTCTCTCTCTCTCTCTCATCTCATCAGACAATTGGCATGCAAAATCTACCACCAAAATAATACGCAGACCCATCTAGCATAGCATTCCAAGAAACAAAATCTCTCCCATGTATTTCATCAAAAACTTGACGTGCATGAGTATATACTGTTACCCCGCCAATACATATTAATCAGGGCATTTTCACAATCACATTTCGTCAAAACTAAATTTCAGATTATAGTTATGAATTTTCTCCCCATATTATAGAGGTAAGTCCACAGTTCTCCAAAACAAATGGGTTGATGTAGTTATTAGATTAGACTCCAGTTCTATGCATTTGGGCATAGAATAGGAGGTCCCTACTGGGTTTGGAGCTCAAAGCGTGGCATCTGACCATGGAGTTAAAGATGAACAAATTGGGATGAAAGTTTTGAGAGAAGATAAGCTCTGCATAGTCCATTTCTGAGAATTTCGAAGCTGATAGAGGTTTGCTTGGTTATAATAGAGGTTGTGATCATTTGGAATGAAAATTTTGAAAGAAGATAAGCTCTGCATAGTCCATTTCTGAGAATTTTGATGCTGATTCAAGTTTGCTTGGTTATAAGAGAGCTTTTGATCATTTGGGTGTGGATCCACAGAAGTTGGGAGAAGATTTGGATTCTCTCTAGTAGAGAGGGAACTGGATTTATGATGTTTATGGAAGTCACCATTTCCATTGGCAAAGAATGTCCATGTTTTTCCTATGGATGGGTGGAGAAGGATGCCTATAGATCGGTATAGTTAGTGAGGTTTCTCCTAGTTGCAAAAGCAGGGAAAATTGAATGCCCCAACAAATTGAGAGAGAGAGAGAGAGAGAGAGAGAGAGAGATTTCTCCCAGTTGCAGAGGCAGAGAGGATTGAATCACGCAACAAATTTAGTGATATAAAGCTATACATTCAACAAACATGTCTCGAATTCACTTTGCAAATTCCTGAGTCACTGCTTCAACAAAAAGAAATCAATAACACTCCTGAAATATCAATAACACATTAAACAATTATCAACACGACAAGAGTTTCATTTTGCCAAAAGCATTCTTGAAAAATTCATGGTGTTCTCTGCTATTTTATTTTGCCAATTGAGACCTTGAAGTTTTCTCTTTTGTTTTTTTCTTCTTCTTTTTAATTGGAAGAGGAGCAATTTAATCCATTGCCCCTCTAAGACATCCGCTCAGGGGCAAAAATCTTAGATATCGGGTGAATTTGAAAAAACCATCCACTTTTTTCTTTAAAAGGCCCCTATATAATATATTACAATTGCAAATGTTGATAATTTGTCTCTCAAACAAATGTTGATAATTTATTATGTCTATGTATCAGAAAAAGATTTCTATGTATGTCCATTTGTAGATTAGGTGGAATTTGTAAGCAGTGAAACATAAAATATTAGATAACAATTATTTGATTATGTTATTCAGTATGCTATCATATAAAATAATACTTTATATAAATAAATAAGTTGCAAATTATTTGAAATTTGCAAGAGTCCATATAATTAATTATTAATAATGTAATTTATATCTTTTGTAATTTATACTTTAAAATTTATTTTATATGGTCAACACACACGCATGTCCTGCAGGACTGTACATGCATGTTTATGTTCCTTTTCTAATATATTACACTGACATCATATATAATAGGGCATCTTTTTATCAATGCCTTGGGTTCTTAGGGAGCTGTCTAAAAGGACATTTAGAAGTATAAAGCAGTATGCCCACCTAATACCTTGTACTGATTACCTTGATGTGCATGCGCACACTCATGAACATATATCTGACAACTGATATATATTAGGGGATTAATTTATTTTAGTTTTGATGGAAAAAGTGGAGTACACATCAAGTTTTAGTGATGAGTAAAAACATATAGAGAGTATTTACCAAGACAAGTGAGGCGAGATATCCAGAGAGAACACGGGAAAAGAAGCATAGTTATCGGAATCTTCCCACGTAGGTTTTGACCCCGCTCTGGGACCTCATTCTGGTAGCCCAAGATATGGATCTCCATGTGATCCCTTTTAAATTTGGGATCTCGATCCCTACTTTTTAAGGATAGCTCCTATCCGCAAGATGAGGCAACAAGAGGCCAAGCCAATGATTTCTTAATTGCAATCATACTCTCTATCTCTCTCATGCTTTTGTGGGATTATTTTTACATAAACTACACTTCAAAGGGATATACAAATCTTATTGATTGATTGAATGAAATATAATTACTAAACTAATTTTAGCTCCCATTTCATGTGCCTATTTTCACTGTATCTTGTGGGATTATTATTTTTTAAAATTTTTTAATAATTTTTTTTAATTTCTTCAATTGTTTATTTACTAATTAAGGAGTCTTTAACATGTGACAATCCCTCACTCCCACTCCTGCATCAGCTCCCATTCCCGCTCACTATTGCAACAACTATGTAAAGAAGAAAATAAAAAGAGAAAAATGATTAGGGGATATTTAGAAGCATCAAATTCTCTGTCAATATACTGGATATATGTGGATTTCAATCCCAAACCGGCCTTCAGTAACCTCCATAAGTGTTACAGATGGGGAATGTCACAGTGCTGGCAAGCTGTGTACTCTCTTTGAACTTTCTTCATCAGCTTCGTGCTAGATATACCGTGTCATCTTTCTGATCCCATCGTTTGACATTGAGATCTATTAGTACGGCTCTAGAAAGGATTCATCAATCACATGCAATCCAGACAACAAAGCAATTGGTTCTTCGAGAGACAAATCTTAGCTGGTCTTGAGAACTTTTATAATCTTTGCTGAAACTATTTCTGGAAACAATTTCTACCCAGCTGAACCATCTTTAGAGAAACCTCCTTCCTAGGGTGGCTTGGGGTTCCTAAAAGGGCTGTTGCCAAAATAGAATTTGAGTAAGTGACCTCCAAGGACATGGTTTAGACTTATGTTTCTTATGTTTAGTGAGTGCATTTGGCTGCGATGAAGCTTTAGGCCCTTAATAGAAATTGAGTATATCCATGACCTAAGAGCGAACATCCCTGAATCTCTTATAAGGGAGTTCCTGATATTGTTGATAGAAGAATGATATTGTTGATAGAAGAAAACACTATTTTTCCATTCCTAAATTCCCCATGGAATAGCTAGTAGTCAAAACAGTAAGAACCCCAGCACTGACATCATCTCCAACATGAAAGTCTATAGAGGAGGGCACTGCCCAACTCATCATGTGATGGAAATAAGGACAATTTTATCTAGGATGGAACCCATTATGAGATAGACATAGGAACCATGCAAAGTTGATAATCAATTGTTTCTTCTATAACCCAATATTGATAACAAATATCGGGAACCCAATAAGGACAATTGTATCTAGGTTGTGAAGATGGTTGCTAGTGAGAATCTTTTTCGATACTACTAGCCAAGTGAAGTCTAAGACTCTCAAGAGAGCTAGGATTTTCCAGAGAAGGAAATTGAATCAAAATTTCATCTATGATGAGGTATAGGACTACAGAGAAACTCCCTCTAGTGTCATAAGCTCACAAAACCCAGCTAGAGCTATAAAGCAGAATGACAATGACTCTAGATCAACTAGCAACTTAGTCAAACAGGCATCCCTCATCCCAAGATCATATTATGGTCATTAACTAGAACCAATGGGTGTGGTACTAGCTTTCAGTGTTTCAAAAAGCGCTGGCCAGCACCTAGGCGGTCGGGGAGGTCCAAGTTGCCAAGCGCCTAAGCAGGTGCTCAGAACTTGGGCGGCCCAGTAGATTTTTTTTTTTTTGGGTTTTTCTCTCTCTAAAATAGGCTCTAATGGCTTTTAGGTTTCAAATGAACCTAAAACCCACAGTTTTGCACCTTTAGTATTAAAAAAAAACCAAAAATACCCTCAACGAGGGGCATTTTCGTCTCTGGGCGGGGCACATGCCCTGGGCGGCTTCCTAGGCAGGCTCCTGGGTG